GTATATAAATTGTGAAAAAAATTAAATTTTCTCAATTCAAACAAATATATAGATTTTTAAATATCTATTCAATCTAAATATTCTAAAGAATCTTTTTAACAATAAAGAAAGAATTTGTATTATTTTACCTCGAATAATACACTCACTCATTTAATAATATATTAGGATTGCAATCTTACAAATTACATTTTATACACAAGTTTATTCGTTAACTCTTTTTTTTTCTTTTATTTTTGCATTATAGTGAACCGAGTCTAGATCAAGTAATGAAAGTAGCAACGGTTAAAGGTGAGAATTGGTCTCGTTTTGAAAGAGACACAGGGAATGACTGGAGGTTTACATGTTATGATGTTACGATTGAGATTGAAAGGGATGATGATTTGAACGTGGTTGTTATTGTTAGTTTTAGGGTAGTTGAGATTAAGGCATACAAGTATTTTCTGTTCCTTTTTTTTTTTTGAACAGCAAGTATTTTCTGTTTCTTAAAATTTATTCATAGGATTGGTAGGTTTAGAGTTTAATAAATTCTGACATTAGGCTGTGGAACTATATATATTTTCGTCCTAAGCTTTCAAAAACCCAACTAGACTGATTCAAGAAGTTAACAAGCAGATCTTGATCGATGTTCAGCTTGATCGAACCTCTTTGCCTTGAGTTTCACTGTATCTGGCTCACACTACAATAATGTAACCATAAAAGATAATACATACTTTCTGCATAATATTATTAATGCAAAAAAAAAAAAAATTTGCCACAAAAACATTTATTAGCATTTAATGTTAACGTAAATATGATAAAAAATCTAATATACGCAAATGTTTATAGAAAAGTGATACGAAATCTACAAAGCTACTGTATCTGGTGGGGTGTATTGTACATTATTATTTGTGTCAACAATTAGCTAATTTGACACAAATAATTATTGTTAATGCAACTAAGTTATCCTTATCTTAAAACATATTTAACTTCTATTTTCCCCAAACCTTTCATTTATCCTCCTTTCTCTTTTACGAAACCAAACAGTAGACCTTTGTCGATCTACCCATTCACACAACTTCAACC